GACGGAAGATTTTCCTCTCTGTCTCTCCTCTCTGTGTATCTGCCTTTCCAATAAAAAAAAAAATAAATAAAAATAAATCTTAAAAAAAAAAAAAAACAAAACTCATGGGCTTAGCCTGACCCAACTGCTGCAGTTATTTAGAAAATGGCATCTTCTTCCTGCTGACTTTGAGATAAATAAAAATAAATAATTTAGGGTCCAGCGCAATATAACCTAGTGGCTGAATCCTTGCCCTACATCTGCTGGGATACCACATGGCACCACTTTGTATCTCAGCCACTCTATTTTCCCTCCAACTCCCTGCTTGTGGCCTGGGAAGCAGTGGAGGATGGCCCAAACCCTTGGGACCCTGCACCCATGTGAGAGATGTGGAAGAAGCTCCTGGCTTTGGAGCAGCTTAGCTTTAGCCACTGTGGCCATTTGGAAGTGAACCAGCAGATGGACGATCTTTCTCTCTGGATTCACTTCTCTCTGTATATCTGCCTTCCCAAAAAGAAAACTAATAAATAAATCAATAATCTAAAGATAACATCACAGTTCTAACTTGATCAATGTGGCTATTAAAAAGTAAAATACTAAAATAAATAAATAAATTTAAAAAGTAAAATGCTAATTCAAACTTTCAATTTTTATTTATTTATTTATGAAGGGCAGGGACAGGCAGAAAAATAAATCTTCCATTAGCTGCTTCACTCTTCAAATGGCTCCAATAGTCAGGGTTGAGCTGCACCCAGCTGTCAGAAACCAGGAGCTTCCTCCAGGTCTCTAACAAGGTTGGCAGCGGTCCAACTACTTGGGTTATCCTCTACTGCTTTCCCAGGTGCATTAGCAGAGAGTTGGATTGCAAGTGCAACAGTTGATGCCACTGCCAGTGCCCACATGAGATGCTGCATCATGGATGGCAGTTTAACCCACTGTACAAGAGCCCCAGCCTCTAGTTCACTTTTATACATATTCTATTTGAGAGATAGCAGATCGTTTTACTCAAGTAGGCAATGAGATGTGTGTAACAGGTACTAAAGACCAAGAAAAACTCTGGATTAGAGACAGAAATTTGAGATGCTAACAATCAGAGAAGGTCATGGTGTACAAAGCATGGAGGGCCATGACAACAAGAATCCTGAACAACGGAAGCCATTAAGTCTGAAATACTGCAAGTTCATAGAACTGTCATATTTTATAAGCATTTCATGCTTTCTCTTTGAGATTTCCAATCATCTTACAAAGCAGACTAGAAGGCAGCACATTCTCCCATTCCCACTGCCTTTCTCACTAAAATAATTACTTGTAGTTTTCAAGTACTGATTTAAAAGAAATACACTTGCTTTAAAAGCCTTGATACAGAAAAATATGCAAAGAAGTTTCAGTTCTACTCTCTGTTCAGTATCCAATACTCTGTCACAAATTTTGAAAAAAGAAGAGGAGGGGATTAAAGAGGTTAAATGAAAAATCTAAATAGATAAAATAATTCACATTATAAGAATCAGCACTATCAGGAATCAAGTAGCCCTAATGATGAAAGTAATACATAAATTTCATTCCAACATTTTTCAAGGTTTAGCATGTTAACTACCTGGTAATTCATCCTTCGTTATTTAGTAACTTTGTTCCACTTACTATGTTTTATGACTTATTGTTTTGGCAGATTATATTTCAAACGCAGAAAGAACTGTAATTCTATAAACAGCCAAAAGTCACATTTCTTTACTATATAACTATTTTTACTTCCCCCCCCCAAAAAAAGTTCATTTATTTCCTTTATTTTATATTTCAGTCCATGGCAGACAGATACTTAAACAAAAAAATCTAAACAAAACTCACAAGTCCAAGTTCTAATATACAATATTGCATGAAAACTTGCACAATGATTAATTAATGTACAGATCACTGCATTATGGCATTACTGAAAAAGGACCTTTAATCCACAAAACTTCCTGTTATTTTTCTAATTTAATTTAAAAACTAAATATCTCCCAGAGGCATTGAGAACAAGACATGAAAAAGCATCTGCACAAATTAATTAGCATATGCCTGAATCATGAAAAAAATTAACTTGATTTGTGGAAAGCAGGTAGGAGTCAAATAAAATCAGATCCAAACCAAGATATGCAGTACTTGAAAATTTAAAATCTGGGAATTTCAGCTTCTGGCTAGAAACGTCATTAAGACACAAAATGGTGAAAATGTATTGAGCTAGTCTGTTTTGCTCATCTTCTTTAAAAATGGCTATTTCTTGTTGCAGTTTATAGTTTTTTAGTTTTAATTCTATTTATTTTTGCTGTGATTTTCATTATTTCTTGCTTCCTGTTCACTTTTTCTTTTTCAGTAAACCCTTATTAGGTCACTTATTTGTTATCAATGTCCCTCTCAACACTGTTTTTGCTACACAGCATGAGTTTTTTTTTTTTTTTTTTTTTTTATTTATTTTTTTTTTTTTTAAAGATTTATTTTTATTATTTTCTCATTGGAAAGGCGGATATACAGAGAGGAGAGACAGAGAGGAAGATCTTCCATCCGATGATTCACTCCCCAAGTGAGCGCAACGGGCCGATACTATGCCGATCCGAAGCCAGGAGCCTCTTCCGGGTCTCCCACGCAGGTGCAGGGTCCCAAAGCCTTGGGCCGTCCTCGACTGCTTTCCCGGGCCACAGGCAGGGAGCTGGAAGGGAAGCGGGGCTGCCGGGATTAGAACCGGCGCCCATATGGGATCCCGGGCGTGCTAGGCGAGGACCTTAACCACTTGTGCCACCGCGCCGGGCCCACAGCATGAGTTTTGATACTTTTGTTTTTATTTTCATTTCTTCAAAATTTTTCTTACTAATTTCTTCAGTGACACATAGCTTATACGATCTTCAAAAAGATCGGTTTTCTTTTTCACTTCTTCAGCGACACACTGGTCATTCAGTAGCATGCCATTTAACTTCATATTGTAAATTTTCTATTTTTCTTCCTGTTGTTAATTTTGTTTTATGGCTTTTCATTTAAGGGAATGTATAATAACTGCAATAGAGAGTATCATACCCAGATGCGAAGATACAATGCAGTTTACATCTCTACTGCCAAATCAAAGAACTCTCAACGAAACTGTTAAATATATCTTGACAATAGGATGCTGGACTCTCTGCAGTTGTTCATACCTACAATGTCAGGATGTGTGTTTAGCAGATTGATGGACTTATGACTGTTTATGAAAGACAATACTATTGTAATAATATACGGGGAAATCAGTTGAGTAGGGGAGGGATTTAAGGAAAAGATTTAAGAAGGGTAAAGGGGAAATGTTAGAGCCTATGAGACTGTATCATAAGATAATAAATGTATTGAGCTATAAAAATATTAGTAGATTTAGCAGTCTTTTGTCTCAAGCTAAAACTGTTGTTACTGGCTCATATCATAAGTGCCAAAGTCTTGAATTAGATTAGTAATTCAATAAGAGGAAGCCAGCAGTGAACCAAATCATCAAGGAATTTTCTCCAAAATAAATCAACTCCCTTTTTATTCCCTCATCACTAAGATTCTAAAGGAAAGTGGAGATGATGTGACAGATAATGTTTGTGTCAAAAAAAAAAGAGGAAAAAAATGTTAGATTATTTTAAGATATCCATCACCAACCTCATAGAAAATTCTTGAAATAGGTCCAACCTCCTTTTTAACAAAAAACAGAGCTACAAAATGGCAAAAGTTCAGAGAAAAGTATAGGTGTGAAGCCATATACACAGCAAACACAAGCCACCTTCAAAGCTTTTGTGCTAGCTCCCACCAGAACTCACTGCATTATATTTCAGACATCACAAAATTTCAGCTCATCATCCTAAGAAAAACAGTTTACTGGTCAGATAACTTTGTAAAAAAAAAAAAAAAAAGAAAAGAAAAGAAAGAAAAAAATAATTAAGAAGCTATAAAAAAACACAAAAATTCTCTGTTCTGACATTTAAGAACTACTCCATGAAGCTGACGACTTTTTTTTTTTTAGATTTCTACTCATATTTTTAGCATTTTAGCTTATTCCTTAGCATTAATTTTTCTATGGTAAAGCTCAGTCAAGTTGACAATCATTCTAGATAATAAAGACAATAAAACTGCATGAAAAAAAACACCAATACACAAATTCCTGATAAATATCTAGAATGTTGAAATGTTTCAGAATCAATTTCACTGAAGTATTAGAAATCATCCAATGACTACTGAGTGCTAATTTAGCCTAGCATTTCCTTAACTAGTTGGGACTTTCCTTCTTCGGTGCCTTCTCCAATGTTCAGCTTATTAGGCGACAATGACACCTACTGGCAGCTCAAACCAACCATTAGTTCTCCAAGACGTCTCCAGTAGGTTAGTTACATAATAAGACCCAACAAATGAAGGAACACATACACACACAAACACACACATACACACCCCATCCTACCTACAGGTAAAAGTTTGCTCACAGGCACTCAGTTCTCCACAGAATTGCATTTAAGACAGAACCAGAAGCTTTCATTCTGAGAGGTCATTATTCTTGTAAAATAAAAGACAAAGAACGAAACAGCAACTATGAGTTTATCTAAAGCACAAATATTTCACAACTCTGAAAATTCAGAGCAAACTCTAATGCTCTCCCTTCTCTTTCCCAAATGGTATTTTGAGGGGGAAAAGTGAAATTTTATGTATGCATGAAGATTTAAATATACTAATGTAAATTATCATTAATTTAAAGAATCACATCTGTGAAAGTTTTTCTGATGTGCAGTGCTAAAAGCAGCTCAGGAAAATGATAAACTTACTAATACTACATTAGTTGGTATCTTCTAAACCAGGCAACATTTCAAATGGCTTACACTTTATCAATTTATGATGCTTCTTTTAAAACTGCCTTTCCCTGAGCTGTAAACTCGTCTTTCTTAGACTGTCCTCCTGTAATTCCTCTTTTAAGTCCACATTTTACGTGCAAATAATGAATAATAAAAACATCTTAGGAACAAGACAATTTGCAGTTAACTATATCTGTAAATTCATTTTACCTCAGTCCAAGAGGCTCGAGCAATACACGTTCCAAACCTAAGAAATAAATAATTCATAATCAGCTTCTCAATGCCTATAAAGGAAACTAATTGCAAGCTGACATCTACCCCTTCCCCAATTCAGACCACGATCTTATTCTCACAGCCCTTAACAGCCACAACATGTAGTGGGTAAAAAATAATAATAATAGACAACTGGTTTTCTAGTCATTTTCCAACTTGCACTCTCCGTGCTTCTGTTAATTTCTGAGGCCCCTCACTTAGCCTGACTGAATCCCGCACCCTGTCCTATTCGCCCCTCCAACTCCACCAGCACCAAAAAAGAACAAGTACGGATTTGCAATCAGCCTGGATTCCTGAAACAACCCTTGTCAACTACAAAACGCGAAGCTGGCCGCGATCATTTCCACCCCAACCCATATTTGGCATAAGCTCCTCGTGACTACTCTATCCTTCAAGCTTCGAGCCTGCCAGGAGAGTGAGCACTCAAGCCAACGGACAAAGGTGTGAGGACCCCCCCCCCCTTCCAGCAAGGACAGCCTCACTGGTGGGAAGAACTACCAGCCAGGGATTACATAAGATATAACTGCATAGCTCCCAGGATCTTTCCGACCACCAGTCAAGATCTGGCTTCTCCGATCCCCCCCACCCCCACCCCTCCCCGGTCCGGGAAATGGCTCCAAGAAGCCATCCCTGGCACTGCTCGCAGGCTGTGTGCAATGTCGTGTCCTCTCCTCGCCCGGGGCCCTCGCTACCCCACCTTGGCTCGCGCCTGTCTCTTCTCCCCGCCTCTCTCTCCCCAGCGGCAGGCCCTCACGCAGTCCCACAGAGCTCACCCTCACCCCGCCTCACAGGCTGCCTTCTCCTCACGACCCTCCCGAGCGGCCGCTACCTGCCTGACGGAGAGGCTCGGGAGTCCCTCACGAATCCGGTCACACCGCGTTCCCCCACAACCCGCCTCAGCCCCTGTCTACAATCTCCGCCGCCGGGGAAAACGAAGAATCCCTTCCAGCTAGACTCGGCGGCCCCCACAGACAGCCTCGCCGCCTACCTGTCACCCCGCTGTCTCCGGCTTCCTGCCGCCACCGCCTCCCGCAGCAGCCAGCCAACTGCAGCGCAACACCCAGCCCTCTCATTGGCTGAGCCCACGCTCACAACAACGGCCTCCCTCAGTGGCTGCAGCGATTCCGTGGTCTGCCCCTACCCTCGTCTGTGCAGCGCCTAAAGAGTCCGGCCTGCAAGCCCAGGCAACGTCTCCTCCTCCCACCTTTTTCTTCCCGACAGGTCAGCTATCGAATTCAGACTGAGGGTGCCCCTGTGTGAAGGGAAAGTTTCAGACGTCCAGGCTTCCTCTTGTCATCTCCCTCTGACCCAGGTATCTGCGACCCAGGAGTGGAACGATCATTGACCTCTCCGGTTTCCAGCCGTAAAGACCTCGAGGGGACAACTTCCGTTTCCGGGTTGGCCGTGGCTGGGTTGTTGTGTCCGGAGAGGTCAGGTTGCTGCGGCCCGGTCAGTCGGGTGGGTTCTTGGGCGACGTCTTAAATCGTGGTAAGAGTTTGTTCTGGAGACTGCAGAAAGGGAGGGAGAAGGCGGAGAAGGGCGGTGAGCCGAGGCAGCCGGAAGAACTGGCGGTCTAGCGTTAGGAAGTCCTCCTGGGGGGGCGGGCTACTAAGGGGGTGAGAGCAGAGACAGGAAGGAACTCTGTTTTTTTTTTTTCCGTAATGTTCTCCGTGTTTCAGATAGAGAGGGGTTTGGAGTGTGTGTTGGGCAGTCTTAAGTTGTACGGTGGCGTGTGGCGAGGTGTGCTCGTGCTCTGCCTGTCCTCCTAGCTGCAGTGTCCAGGCCGGAGGCGTCCCCCTTCAGTGTGACCGTGCCCACCAAACGTGCCGCTCCATCTTCGACTCTGGTACGATTGCATGTTCTCTGTGGAGCTACTATTCTTACTAGAATCGCTTTGACCTTGAGCTAGTCATCCGTTGTTGAGTCCTTGACACAGTACATGTTGTATTTTTTACAATCAAGTGTGCATGACAGAAGGGTCTATATAGAATACTTGAAGGGATTGTATGTACACTCCTACAACCACACTTCGGGTTAATAAATAAGGCATTGCTTTCGTTACGGGGTGGTTGAGGGGGTGACAGTTAGTTGAGGAGGCCACAGTTCTTGAGCATGTGGGTAAAGTATGTATGATGGTAAAGTGTCATTGGGAAGGGTGTGGTGGAACACGCTTGGGGGAAATATCTAGAAGCTCCTTTAGAGGGACAGTAAAGTTTGCTCTAAAATGCTGCTTAGAAGCCACCTGTGTTCACTTTTGTAATTCCAGCTCCTGGTCCACCAGGAGGGTTACGACCCTTCATTTGATTGGTTTTTCCACCTGTGGTATATTCCTTAAAAAATGAGTTTTCAGGGTGTTTCCACCATGCTGTGTAAATACAATTGGGATGCCTTTGTTGTCAGACTCATGCCCTTGCTCGTTCTTATATTTGGGAGATTCATACTTTTGCTTGTCTTTTTTCTTTTGCTGTACAGCATCCTATGATGTTTGCCATGATTCTGTTGTCATTTGACACTTGGGTTGCCTACAGTTTGGATTCTTGAGAAAAGATTAATCACTTGTTATACACATGCAAAGGCTCTTCCAAAATAGTGCTATCCAATAAAAATCCAACGCAGATCACATACAATTTTAAATTTCCTAGTAGTCACATTAAAAAATTCAACAGTATTTCATCTAGCCAAGTATGTCCAAAATACCATTTAAAGATATAATGAATAATAAGTTATTAATGAAATATTTTGTTTTCATACTGTCTTCAAAAATAATGTGCTACACAAAATAAGATACATGCTTACAAGCTGTGTCAGTTTGTGTGCTACGCTTTTGTACACCCAATCGTGTTTGTATTTTGTAGTTTACAGTTAAACGTGTAGATTCATGGAGTGAACATTGTGGCACACCGAGTTAAGCTTCTGATTGGAAACACCATGGGTCATGTACAGGTGTCTGGGATGCAGTCTGCTCTGCCTTGCTGTTCACTCAAGCTGGAAGGCAACAAATCATGGTCTCAGAGCCTGGTCTCCTGCTGCTGGCGTATGAGGCCCCTCCGTTCCCAGCCACTGTTTGGCCTGTCCAGCTCTTTTCCATCGCAAGCATTTGTTGCCTGAATTAATGGCTTGAAGACTTTTCTATCTGTTTTAATAAATTTTTGAAATTTAATTTTTATTGGCAAGTCAGGTTTACAGATAGGAGAGAGAGATAGAGAGAAAGCTCTTCCATCCACTTATTCACTCCCCAAGTGGCTTCAGTGGCCAGAACCGAGCCAATCCAGGGAGCTTCTTCTGGGTCTCCCATGTGGGTACAGAGTCCCAAAGCTTTGGGCTGTCCTCTACTGCTTTCCCAGGCCACAGCAAGGAGCTGGATGGGAAGTAGAGCAGCTGAGGTACAAACCGGCACCCATGTTATCCCAGTGGATGCATGCCAGGTCATAATTTTTTTTTTAAAAAGATAGATTCCTAAACCCGGCGCAGTGGCGCAGTGGTTAAGGTCCTCGCCTTGCACACCCGAGATCCCGTATGGGCGCCGGTTCTATCCCGGCGGCCCTGCTTCCCTTCCAGCTCCCTGCCTGTGGCCTGGGAAAGCAGCAGAGGACGGCCCAAAGCTTTGGGACCCTGCACCCACGTGGGAGACCTGGAAGAAGTTCCTGGATCCTGGCTTCAGATCGGCATGGCATCGGCCGTTGCGCTCACTTGGGGAGTGAATCATCGGACGAAAGATCTTCTTCTCTGTCTCTCCTCTCTGTATAACCGCCTTTCCAATAAAAACATAATAAAAATAAATCTTAAAAAAAAAAAGAGTGAGCTGGCAAATGGGAAGCCTCTCACTCTCCTTTAAAAAAGAATAGATTCCTATCCCTAAATTGCTCTAAATATATTTTAAGATTTTCTAATAACTGATTTGAGAACCTATTTTGAAATTTAAACTAATTCTGTTTCCCAGCTCTGCAATTGGACCTTTCACATTTCCCATGTCCATAGCTAACATATTGGGCACTGCAGATGTAGAGTAGCGTTGCTGGCTACATGGTACTAAAATATTCAACTTTTTAGATCATACTAGGTTTTCTTGGGCCCCTGGCATCCATTTGGGAGACCCAGATGGAGTTTCTGCCTTTGGCCCTTGCCAGCTCCAGCATTCTGCCTATTTGGAAAGTGAACCAGCAGTTTAAAGAAACTTATCTGTCTCTTTTTGGTTATGCTACCTTTCAAATAAATATTAAACATTAAAAAAGTGCTTCCCAGAGCTTTTGGAACTATGTCATAAAAGAATTATTTCAAAAAAATATGTTGAAAAAAGTTTTTTAATTTCATCAGTCCCATAAAACAAATAGGGAGATAAATTTTTACTATCCTCTGGAAAAAAAATGAAAGTGCCTCAGATATTATATTATATTATCTATATTATAGAAATAGATCCTTTCTGAAATATTTTAATTAGGTAATAAACATATGAAATTATTGAAAGATGTCTGTGTAGGAGAAATAAGGCTATGTTTACTTCCAGGTTTTCTTTCAAAGATCTTCCAAATCATTATTTATGATTCTATTAATAGGTATAATGATAAATAAGTATAGTTAGCATTTTATTTTCAGTATAATAATATAACCTAAAAATAGTGTTTGCATCATACTAATGCTTCAACTTTGACTTTCAATAGCTCACTATAAAAATCTGGATCCTTAATTTTGTACCATCTTCTTTGTACACAGATATTCACCTGTATCAAAATTCTAGAACTCATATTTGTCAAAATGAAAGTGTCTTCTGATCTCTTTGAACATTAAAAAATATTTTTGTTTTTTGTTTCAAAAGCAAAATGAAAAAGAGGGTTCTTCCATTACTGATTCACTTCACAAATGACCACAGTGGCTGGGTCTGTGAGGGCTGAGATCAGGAACTTGGGCCGCCATTCGGGTCTTCCTTGTGGTGGGACTCAGCTTTTGAGCCATGAACTGCTACTCTCCCAGGGACGTTGACATGAGGAACTTGCATCAGAAACAGCCATGGACTCAAAACTGGCCCTCCAATATGGGATGCTGGTGTTGCAAGTAGTGACTTAATCTGTTGCACCACAGTACCCCTTTTAAATATTTTTAAAATAAGATGTTATTAATTAAAGAGATCTTTAAAAACATGACATAAATAAGCCAAGACGTTATCATTCTAAATCAGTGCTTCTGTGTTTTGCCCTATATTGAATCTCAAAAATCAGTCTGAAATCTGAAACCGTAATTTTTCTCCTTCAAGTTATTGAACGCACCAAATCTTTTTGTAAAGGGATCTTCACTTTTATTTTTTATTTTTAAGATTGATTTATTTTTATTGGAAAGTCGTATCTACAGAAAAAGGAGAGACAAAGCTCCATGGTTGGAGCTGAGCCACTTCATGCAAGGCAACCACTGGATATCAGGCTACTAGGCTACCACACCGGGCCCCCCAAATAATCTTTTTAAATGAGTTTTGTAGTTATAACGTGTGTTGGCGACTGTCTTTTCATTCTATGTTAAATATGCAAATCAGTGTGTTTTTGGTTATCTTAACACGTTTATTAATATTAAGTAGATTGATGTGTCAGTGTGTACTTTTTTCATCTTGGAACTGTTTAATAAACATTTCACCAACTATATCTTTACTATCTTTTAAAATGAAGTAGAATAATATTAATATTCTGAATATTGAGCCTGCTCATTAGTGCAGATATAGTTGAAATCACTTGGTTGACTTTATTTCAGAAGAGCAGTGATTATAGAAACGGTGTTGCTAACATCACACAGAGTGTGGTATGGCTTTCCAATTAACTCATACCCTTAATTTGAAATTCATCATCATCTAAATCGGGGCTGAGATGTGTACTTTTATATTGCCTATAAAATAACACTAGTAAGACTGAAGTCTCCCCTTTGAGGACATACTTTAAGGAAACAAACCTGTTGACTAAAATTGGTCTAATTCAGGAATAAGAAACTGCAGTCTATAAGCAAAGCTTTCACCACTGTCTATTTTTGTTTTGTTCATGAGCTGAGAATGTTCAGAAGGGTTTTTTTTTTTTTTTTAAGATTTTTATTTATTTATTTGAAAAGCAGGATTACAGAGAGAGATCTTTCCTCCACCCACAGGTTCATTGCTCATACCGCTGAAATGGCAGGAACTGGGCCAGGCTGATGCCAGAAACCTAAAACTTTATCCAGGGCTCCCATGTTGGATGGCAGGGCTCCAAGTACTTGAAGGACCCATCTTCCGCTGCTTTCCTAGGTCCATTAGCAGAGGGATAGGAAGTAGAGCAGCCAAGATTTGAACCAGCACCTATATGGGGTGATGGTATCACAGCTTATACTTAATATGTGTACCACAATGCTGGGCCTCTATTAAAAATTTTTTTCTGGGCCCAGCAAGGTAGCCTAGTGGCTAAAGTTCTCACCTTGCATGTGCCAGGATCCCAAATGGGTGCCGATTGTGTTCCAGCTACTTCACTTCCCATCCAGCTTCCTGCTGTGGCCTGGGAAAGCAGTAGAGGACAACCCAAAGCTTTGGGACTCTGCACCCACATGGGAGACGTGGAAGAAGCTCCTGGCTCCTGGGTTTAGATCAGCTCAGTTCCAGCTGTTGAGACTGCTTGGGGAGTGAATCAGTGGATGGATGATCTTTCTCTCTGTCTCTTCTCTGTAGATCAGATTTTCTGTCAAAAATAAATAAATCTTGGGGAAAAAAAGAATTTTTTTCTGAGACATTTATTTGAAAGGCAGAGTTAGGGAATGAGTTGCATCTGCTGATTCATTCCCCGATGACTCCAGCAGCTGGGGCTGAAGCCAGGTTCCTGGAGCTCCATCCTGCTCTCCCATGTGGGTATCAAGGACTCACTACTTTCCCAGGCATGTTTGCAGGAAACTCATTGAATGTCTGAGTCACAGGCAGTGACTTAACCCAAAGCACTACACTAGCCCACAAGAATTTTTTGAAGATTTATGTCTTTATTTGAAAGGCAGAGTTACAGAGAGAGAAACAGAGAGAAATCATCCATTGCTAGTTTACTCTCAAATGACTTCAGCAGTTGGTACTCCTGGTCAGGACAAGGAGCAAGGAATTCTGTCCATGTCTCTTACAAAGGTGCCGCTTTACCTGCTGCTTTCTGAAGGACATTAGCAAGGAGCAGAATGGATGCCCGAGTGGCAAGCAGCAACTTAACTCCCTGTGATTGCCCCCTAAGAATGGTTTTTTTTTTTAAGATTTATTTTATTTTTATTGGAAAGGCGGATATACAGAGGAGAGACAGGGAGGAAGATCTTCCGTCCAGTGGTTCACTCCCCAGGCGGCCACAACGGCTGGAGCTGAGCCAATCCGAAGCCAGGAGTTCTTCTGGGTCTCCCACACGGGTGCAGGGTCCCAAAGCTTTGGGCTGTCCTCGACTGCTTTCCCAGGCCACAGGCAGGGAGCTGGATGGGAAGCGGGGCTACTGGGACTAGAACTGGTGCCCATATGGGATCCTGGGCGTGCAAGGGTCACGCTGGGCCCAGTAGTGTTGCTTCTTAAAAGAATCATTTAGCAAAGGAGATAACAAAACTGTGTACATTTTTGTTATGCGTAATTTTATTTTTTTAAAGATATATTGTGGGCCTGGCGCGGTGGCGCAGTGGTTGAGGTCCTCACCTTGCACGCCTGGGATCACATATAGTAGGCCCAGAAGAAGTTCCTGGCTCCTGGCTTCGGATTGGCATAGCATTGGCCGTTGCACTCACTTGGGGAGTAGGTCATCAGACGGAAGATCTTCCTCTCTGTCTCTCCTCTCTGTATATCCACCTTTCCAATAAATAAATCTTTCAAAAAAAAAAAGACAAAGATACATTGTAATTTTATTTGAAAGTCAAATATACAGAGAGAAGGAGAGACAGAGAGGAAGATCTTCTATCCATTGATTCACTCCCCAAGTGACCACACTGGCCTGAACTGAGTCCATCTGAACCCAGGAGCCCAGAGCCTCTTCCAGGTCTCCCACATGGGTGCAGGGTTGTAAGGCTTTGGGCCGTCCTCTACTGCTTTCCCAGGCCACAAGCTGGGAGCTGGAAGGGAAAGCAGGGCCGCCAAGCTTAGAACCAGCACCCACATTGGATCCTGGCGTGTGCAAGGTGAGGACTTAAGCTACTAGGCTACCACGCCAGGATCCATGTTACACATAATTTTGTATTAGGACTTTAAAATGAAGAAAAAGTATTACTTAGAAGTTAGGAGCGATGGTGCTGAAACCAAATTGCAAGAATGTGAAATTCTAATTATACCATTTACTGTTTTTGTTACCTTCACAGAGTTACTCAATTTCTGGAAATCTTACTGTCTTCGTAAAATGAAGTTGGTCTGAGTTTAAGTTCTGATGTGTTAGTACTGGAGCTAAAGCCGGCATTTTCTCCTCGTGAGTTAAGCCGCCATATTAAAAAATGGCATCCATGTTGGTGCCGGTTTGGGTCCAGGTGGTCCACCTTTTTCTTTTTTTCTAAGATTTATTTATTCTTCAGCTGCTCCATTTCTAATCCAGCTTTTTGCTAATGGCCTGGGAAAAGCAGCGGAGATGGACTAAATGCTTGAACCCTTACTGTCCATGTAGGAAACCTCAGTGAAGTTCTTATTTTCTGGCTTTGACCTAACCCAGCCTCAGCCATTGTAACCATTTAAAAATAAACCAGCTGTTGGAAGATCTCTCCGTTCTTCTCAATTGTGCTTTTCAAATAAATATATAAATGTTTAAAAGAAGAAGTGGAGTTAGTACTTGTGCAGTATAGTGTACCTGTCACATAGGTCCTAATAAACATTTCCTGTTACTACAACAAAGAAGGGAAAAAAAAAACAGTAAATGGTAATCTCTGCATATTGAAATTACTGGTTAGGTTTTCAAATTTCCGGTCTACAAATACTGATTTGTCAAAGTGTTTTATAAAATCTGTCAACTCGGGTTTTTTACATATTTATCTTTTTTTGAAAATATAAACCATTTGACTTCACATGTAAAGAGCAAATTGGGCTTTTTCAGGTCTATAATCTGCCTTTCTCCCTTAATGTAACTCTTTCCTAGGCATGGCCCCTGGACATGGACATGGGCATGGGCAGGAACATGGTCACAGTCACGGTAAAATGGAACTTCCAGATTATAGGCAATGGAAGATAGAAGGGACACCGTTAGAGATCGTCCAGGAGAGGCTGGCTGCGCAAGGGCTGAGGGATCCATGGGCCCGGTAAGAGGAATTCATTTAGATAGTGTTTACCTTATAGGATTAATATGTATGTTCCTTTTCAATGTATTCTCTTAACAGTCATGGAAAAAATGGCTTTTTTTAATACAGAGTTTCAATATCAGCTTTTTGAGGTATCATTTATTTATGGTAAAATCCAATCTCTATAGTTTGTCTTTTCTAAAGCTTATACAGTTAGAATCAGCCGTAAGAGTTCTTGTTTTGTTCTCTTACGTCACGTAATGTTTTTGAACATGTGTTGCTTCTATGCCTAATCCTGCCTTTCTAGTGCTTTTCATATCCATTATATGAGGTCTGTCCATGGATATGACTCATTTTGTTTGCCATTTACTAGTTTTTGGCTTTTGGCTATAATGAGTAAAGGTGCTATAACCATTCAAGTAGAAGTCTGTGTGAAAGAATATTTTCATTTCTCTTGGGTAAATACCCAACAGTGGGATTTCTGGATCATATGATAAATGTTTAGCTAACTTTGGAACAAATTGACTTGTCTGGGAAAGCGTATGTTCTAGTGATTAAGACGCTGGTTGGGATGCCTGTGTCCCTCTCTGAATACCTGGCTTCTGTTCTGGCTCCAGTTCTGGCTCCTGCTTCTAGCTTCTGACGGATGCACGTGCTGGGAGACTTGGCTTGATTTCCTGGCTTTGACCTCAGCCCAGCTCTGACTGGTGTACATGTTTTGGGGCAAACCAGCAGACTCACTGTGTTTTTACTCTTCCTCACCTTTTCTCCCTCTCTGCTTCCCTCTACCTTAAAAAAAAAAGTCAAAATGGCTGTGCTGTCTTGTGTTCCCACCAGCATTCCGTCAGGATTTTATTTGCTCAGCGTCCTCACTAGCACTTCGTATTATTAGTTTCTGTTCTAGCCATTCTAGTAAATATGATCATTATGGTAATATTGAGGTTTATAAAATGAATAATATATGAAAATGAGTAACTTTCCTTCTACTCCTAGAGAAGTTTTTGCTCTTGGGGGTGTTTTGTTTTTTTTTTGCTTCATTGTCATTGTTATTCTGTCAAAGGAGTATTGAATTCTGTCAAGTGGTTTTTCAGTGTAGAGAGAGTATCATAGTTTTGTTGTTTTTTTCTTTTTATATTCTGTTACTTATGTTGACTTTCGAATATTCAACTGCTTGTATTCCTGAGGTAGACCCTAATTCATAATGTGTTATTCTTCGGGATATTTCTGGGTTTCACTTTCGGAAATTTTGTTAAGAATGTTTACATTTATCTTCTTAAGGAAAAGGCAGTAGTTTTATTCTAACATCTTTGATTTTTACACCTAAAATTATGTTTAATTAACATTTATTTTCTGTAAGTCATATTTTTAAATTAAAAACTTTTTGGTTTTCCTGACAGTGTTTTTTTTTCACTGATTTATCTTTACCTGTAGAACATGACATTTTTTTGACCTGTATTTACTTCGCTGTCGAGAGTGCTTAGACAAATGATTACCAAAGCAGAAAAAGCTGACTTCTAAAGTTTAAACTGCTGTGCCAGAGACCAGGTGTGAAGCTCTCGAATAGTAATGGTGCTATCAAGTGTTTTACCTTCCTCTGCCAAAATATCTGACACATAAGCATGTTTAATCTTTACAACAACCCTGTAAACTACAAAGTAATCTTTGCCCCTGACCCCAGATATAGGGAAAAAATGGATGATATTAGTGTGGAAACAATGGTATTACCCACTTTCCTTTGCCCTTGACCCTTTGTACCCTGATCAACTAAGTAAGATTATTAAAAAAAAAAATTAATCACTAAATAAAAGAGTAAGTCAATAGTGCCATGATGTACTTAAATAGCAGAATGTTAAACTTGTAACTGTTAGCAAAGGACTGTACTACTGTAATATGGGGGAAGGTGGTGGCATGGGACAGAAGGGAATCACCATACCTACAGAACTGTATCATGGAAAATAAATCCCAGAGCCTATAGAACTGTATCAATATTAATAATAATAATAACAACAACAAAAAACAATCCATGGCATTAAGAAAAAAAAAAAAGAGATAAAAGGAAGTATCTTGCCAAAAAAAAAAAAGAGAGAGAGAGAGGGTGTGAATCCTGACCAGTTAAGTATCTTGCCCATCCTGAAAGGCTGTGATTCTAGTAAAAGCAGAGAGAAGATTAAAACTGTCTCCTAATTTCATCTTTCAGTCATGCAGTGACAGGTTTGGCTGTGCCACCTAACTGATATGTGACAGATGGGTTCAAGGGAAAATTTTTTTAAATTTGAAAATTATAGGGCCCGGTGCGGTGGCACAGTGGTTAAGGTCCTCGCTTTGCACGCCTGGGATCCCATATGGGCGCCAGTTCTATCCCGGCAGCCCCGCTTTCCTTCCAGCTCCCTGCCTGTGGCCTGGGAAAGCAGTTGAGGACGGCCCAAAGCTTTGGGACTCTGCACCCGCGTGGGAGATCCAGAAGAGGCTCCTGGCTTTGGATTGGCATAGCATCGGCTGTTGTGCTCACTTGGGGAGTGAATCATCGGACGGAAGATCTTCCTCTCTGTCTCTCCTCTCTGTATATCTGCCTTTCCAATAAAAAAAAAATAATAAAATAATAATAATAAAAATTGAAAATTATAAAAAATTCTGAGTAATAATGTGTAGGAAATATAAAATCATCAAATGCTTTTTAGTTTATTTTGTACATGAAGCTTGGAAATGCATTCTTAATTAACCTTTGCCACAGAAACTCCTGAATTTATCTTCATATAAATTTGCATTTATACGTGTTAGAAAGATAAAACTTAAGTTTGATTTTACTCAGTGAGTGTACACAGCTGGTGTGTGATTATAATTTTTCCTTTCTTCTAGCAATGAAGCGTGGAGATACATGGGTGGCTTTGCGCACAATGTTTCCTTTGTTGGTGCAATACTGAAAGGATTCAAGTGGGGATTTGCTGCGTTCGTGGTGGCTTTGGGGGCTGAATATTACCTGGAGTCCCAGAGTAAAGACAAGAAGCATCACTGAAGGTAGTGCCTCAAAGTCTCTTGGTGGCTTCCTGACTCATGTGAAAATAAGATTTCTTCACTGTAGCCTACACAATATGCTTATCCCCTAAAGAATGCTGATAAGATTTAATAAAGTAACTTTAAAAATTACTGATCGGTTTTTTAGTCTTAAAAAATCTTAGGCCAAATCAGATTTAGCTGGCACCTAGCATGGGTTCGGTATTAGCAGCAGGGCATTCTGCAGGCGGCGAGCACGTACATGACTGAGCAAATGGATGTGCTCTAGCATGTTTAAAATGGGAGCTAGCCTTGCTGCTTTACCCATCCTCTGAAGATGGTTTGAATTACCTAGATTGTACTGTAAAGTTCTTGCTGCGTGGTATGTCATCTGTGTTTTCATTTGTGATGGCAGACTCTATGCTTGCTTTAATCCTGGTTGTTTCCCTGTGGTAACAAGCTTGATGGATTTTTGTTTTGTGTCTCTAACAAGAAACTAGACGTTTGCTCCGTATCATTGACTTCTACACTTTTAATTAAAAGTCTTACTTAAGCAAAAAGTGCAAAATGACTTGTTGAGAAGGAAATGATTATTGAAACAAATTGCAGGGGAATTTTTCTTTGTAAATGTCTTATTTATAAATATACACTGGAGTAATCACGAAGTAAATGAGACACAGGGATTCCTAATAAGCTGATAGTAGTTGTTGGCTTGTGGTAAGAGGAATCACAAAAGCAATTCACTTCAAAAAAGGTAATTAAACAGTTTGAAAAGGAGCAGTGGGCAACTCAATGTAGCAAGATGTTATAAACATTGTAACGAAGAAGAAAAACATTTAACATGTGAGCTGTAATGAAAAGAGTGGTGAGGTGACTATGTAAATAGTCAAAGTAGATTTTAGAATAAGTATCACTTGGTGATAAAAAAGGAACATTTCATAGTAGAAGGGTCATTTTATTCAGAGGGAGAGCATACAGAATTTTAACTGTGTGAACATAGCTTCAAAATATATGAGGCAAAACGGGAAATAGGCCAAATACAATTAACATTCAGAGACTTCAATACTCCTTTCTCAGTGATTGATGTGACAAGTAGATGAGAAATCATTTGGTCTGTAGAAAACTCAGATAACACTATCACCTGACTTGTAATCTGTAAACTGAACAAAGTGAAGCACTTAAATACCTGGGGCATTTACCACAACAAACATTTTAAGTGAGGCTCAATAAATTTAACAGGATTGAAATTACACAAAGTATTTTCAAATCACAAGGAAACTGAATTTAACAATTAACATCTGAAAGATATTTGGAAATAAGATAGCACTCTTAAAAATATCTGATACTGGGCCTGGTACCGTAGCCTAGTGCATAAAGTTTTCACCTTACATGTGCCAGGATCCCATTATGGGCGCTGGTTCTAATCCTGGCAGCTCTGCTTCCCGTCCAGCTACCTGCTTGTGGCCTGGGAAGGCAGTTGAGGACGGCCCAAAGCTTTGGGACCCTGCACCTGCTTGGGAGACCTGGAAGAGGCTCCGGGCTCCTGGCTTTGGATCAGCACAGCTCCAACCATTGCAGCCACTTGGGGAGTGAATCAATGGATGAAAGATCTTCTCTGTATATCTGACTTTGCAATAAAAATAAATCTTTGTGGGAAAAAAGGTGCAGGATGGGCATTGTGGTGCTGTGGGTTAAGCCACTTCTTGTGATGCCTGCATACCATATCTGAATGCTGGCTCAAGCCTTAGCTTGCTCCCTTTCTGATCCAGCTCCCTTTCAACACACCTAGGAGGCAGCAGATAATGGGTTGGGTACCTCAGTCCCTGCTGACTTACTGAGGTCTGGATTCCTGGCTTTAGTTTGGCCCAGCCCCGCTTTGTGAGGCAGAGGATAGCCTTTCTGTGGTGGGTCAATGGCTAAATCCTCACCTTGTGAGCGCAGGGATCCCATTAGGCATTGGTTGCTGTCCTGGATGCTCCACTTTTTCACGCAGCTCCGTGCTAGTGGCCTGGGAAAGCAGTAAAAGATGACCCAAAACCTGAGCGAGAGACCCAGAAGAAACTCCTAGCTCCTTTCTTTGGTTCGGCTCAACTCTGGCCGTTGCAGACGTTTAGGGAGTGAACCAGCAGATAGAAAATCTCTGTAAGAATCTGCCTTTGCGATGAAAAGGAACCTTTTTTTGTTTTGCTTTGTTTTGTTTTTGAAGTACATTATGGTTAAAAAGAAATGTTTTGCTTTTAGGTTTTTTCCAGTTATACTATTTATACATTATTAATTAAAATCCTTTTGAAGTAAAATGTTAGTACTACTGCAAATGTTACACTGCCTTCATTAGAATTACTCAACTCCCCAAGCCAAATTTAAAATAACAGCATTAGCATGCATATATCATGGTGGTCTAGCGGCTGGAGTCCTCACCAGGGTCCCATGTAAGCGCTGGTTTTGGTCCCAGCAGCCCTGCTTCCCGTCCAGCTCCCTGCTTGTGGCCTGGGAAGGCCGTCGACCCTGCACCCATGTGGGTGACCTAGATGAGGATCTGGACTCCTGCCTTTGGATCAACACAGCACTGACTGTTGTGGTCACCTGGGGAGTGAATCATTGGATGGAGGATCTTCCTCTCTGTCTCTCCTCTCCTCTGTATGTCTGGCTTTGCATGCATATATCTGCTAACTTGGTAACTAATCTACCAAAGCATCTCTAAATTTACTTTTAAATACCTTGGTCAGGTATTTTACCTTATTACAATAAAACAAAAAGATTTTTTAAAAAGCTTTACATTTAAATGAGTTGGGCTTTTAAATGGCTAGTTTATGGTCACAGCTCTTATGGTATATATGTATGATACATTTTATTTTAGTTATTCTCTTACTTTAAAATTTCCATGGGAAACACTGACTATTCAGGGACACAGTCCTGATGGCCAACTCTGTGGTTCACAGTAACCATAGCAATGAGTGTACTAAAAATAGAGGAGTGCCTTTGTCAGCACAGATGGGATCATCTTACTGAGGAAGAATCAGGTTCACCAGCAGTGGTATCACCTGGACCTGGGAATCCACATGACAGTAAAAGAACACAATAGCATGAGCATTTAGTACAAGCTGACAATTAGGTCTTCTATTCAGACAAGATGTTCTAGTGACACATAATTAGAAAGTAAACAATTTCCAGTAACTAAACATGACAATCTGTATATTTAACCGATGGTGAGATTTAAGTGAGAATATTATTCTCTTTAATTCTTGACCTATTTTTGATGATACCACCAAAGGCCTGCGGTGGTAGTGATTTGCCACAAATTCCATACTTGGAAGGCACTGCCTCGGTCATGGGGCAAGGGCATTAGAATTTGAGTCTGACTAAGCATTCTAACAGCTGTCATGTAACCTTCCCTTTCTTGATGAGTTGATCACAAAATACTAACCATCAAAGGTCTAAAATAATTTGTACATAATACAACCAGGCATTGGTTGCATTTAATAAAACTGCTCATTTTTGTTGGTTTGACTTTTTTTGTTACACTACAAGAAACAGAATCACTACATGCAAATAATACCTGCTAAACCAACCTTCCTTCAACCAAAATGCACCTACAAGGGCAGACACAGTGGCATAGCATGCCAACATCTCATATGCGTACTAGTTTCTGTCCCAGTTATTCCACTTCCAATCCAGCTCCATACTAATGTTTGGGAATACAGGGCGGGATAGCTCAAGTCCTTGGACCCTTGGAGGAAACAGAGAAGAAACTCCTGGCACCTGGTTTTGGATTAGCTCAGCTCTGGCTGTTGTGGCCGTTTGTGGAGTGAACTAGTACATGGAAGATTCTCCATCTCTCCCTTTTACTCTGTAACTCTGCCTTAAATAAATAAAAGCTTAAAATAAAGCATTTACTAGGACAAAGGCAGGCTCCAGATGTAGATGCCAAATACAAATACAATCAAAATTCTCAATCTTTAATTTGGTGAAGCTCATAGCACCCAGGTAGATTCCAGAATTGTCTAGATTTCAGATACATAGTCAGAAATTGGTTGTGGGAAGGTCAACTTTGTGGCACAACACTGCCTGTGATGCTAATACCCCATATGGGCACCAATTCATGTACCAGCTGCTCCATTTCTTATCCAGCTCCCCGATACAGTGCCTAAGAAAGCAACAGAAGACGGCCCAAATGCTTGGGGACCTGCACCTATGTAGGAGACCCAAATGGAGTTCCCAACGCATTGCTGTGGCTTGACCCAGCTCTTAACCATTCGCTGAGTGAACCAGTGGATAGAAATTATAGCAGGCCTATCTGTAACATATGTCTTGAGACTTGGACATCAGACATTTGCCAAATTATGTCTAGAGAAACTGCTGTGAGCCAAAGCCAGAAAACCCATCCAAATGAGTTACACTAGTATGATTGTGAAAGGGAATGAGCATAGAGTAGAAGTAAATGTGACCACTAACCCAGGCAAGCAAAGAAAAGGAATAGGACAGTAAATGTCTAGATGAAAGCTTGTGTTAGAGAACTCATCAAAAAAATCTGGAATGGAAGGATACCAAGCTTCCTATGCTAATAAAATTCCAGAGTTACTATGTTTTTAGTTTAGTCAGTACCTATTCCAAGAAAAATTAAAGGACTCACTGAAAGGTCAGACTAATCCCTGGACATGTTACTGGTTTTAAGTAAATTGATTTTCATGTTTGTAAGCATTATTGTATTTATGGTTTTTATCATTGAACTTCTTTGATCTATGAATGTATAAATTTCTATCTAATTTAGAAATGTTAAGTGGTTGTTTACCCATATGTTTTTCTGTCCCCCATTTTCTTACGCAGGCACTCCAATAACATAGGTTAGGCTGCTTAATGTGTTACAGCTTTTCTGATCTTCTGTTTTTTTCTTTCAGCACTATTTATCTCTCTGTCTCATTTGTGATATTTCTAATATTGTGTATTCAAATTCTCTATTCTTTCTTTGGTATCTAATTTTCTGATGATATTATGCAGTGCATTTTTCGTTGCACTTTATGTCTAGTTTCAATTTGAGCTTTGTATTTTTCATGTCTCAACATGTTCAATCTCTTACTGAACCTATGGCCTGCATTTATGGTATCTTTTTAAATATCCCTGCCTACTAAGTACATTATCTGTGATAT